CTAGAGCAGGTTGCTCCAAGCCCCTGTGTCCAACCTGGCCTTGAACACTGCCGGGGAGGGCGCAGCCACAGCTTCTCTGGGCACCCTGTGCCAGCGCCTCAGCACCCTCCCAGGGAAGAGCTTCTGCCCAAGAGCTCATCTCACTCTCCCCTCGGGCAGGTTCATGCCATTCCCCTTGTCCTGTCCCTCCATCCCTTGTCCAAAACCCCTCTCCAGGTTTCCTGGAGCCCCTTTAGGCACTGGAAGACTTTAGGTCACCTCCTCAGCGTGTCTCTCGTTTCAGATGCCAGCACTTCCCATCTAGCCACTGGCGCTGAGCCTGGATCTGCTCAGGCCTTTTGAGGTGGGTCTGGGCCATCCCACCTCTCCTGGCCTCCGAGGAGCCATGGAGGACAAACGCAACATCCCCATCATCGAGTGGGAGCACTTGGACAAAAGGAAGTTCTACGTGTTTGGGATCTGCATGACGATGATGATCCGGGTGAGCGTTTACCCCTTCACCCTCATCCGCACCCGCTTACAGGTTCAGAAGGGCAAGAGCTTGTACAAAGGGACTTTTGATGCCTTTGTGAAGATCCTGCAGACAGAAGGGACCGTTGGGCTCTATCGTGGCTTCTTGGTCAACACCTTCACCCTCATCTCGGGCCAGTGCTATGTGACGACCTATGAGCTCACCCGCAAGTACGTGTCCCGCTACAACAACAACAATGCTGTCAAGTCCCTGGTGGCAGGAGGCTCGGCCTCCCTGGTGGCCCAGAGCATCACGGTGCCCATCGACGTCGTCTCCCAGCACCTCATGATGCAGAGGAAAGGGGAGAGCATGGGCAGGTTCAAGGTGCGGAACCGGGATGGGAAACGGCTCTTGGTCTTTGGCCAAACCAAGGACATCATTGTACAGATCTTCAAGGCTGATGGCTTTAGAGGCTTCTACAGGGGCTACGTGGCCTCACTGCTCACCTACATCCCCAACAGTGCGGTCTGGTGGCCCTTCTACCACTTCTATGCTGGTAAGTGAAGGAGACTCAGCCCAGGAGCCCCTCACACTGACTCTGAGACTGTGGGCCCAGCATGGTTTGCTTTTTCTGTTTGATTTTTGGGGGGAGCAGAACCTGCCTTGAAACAAATCGAATCCTGTGGCCACTGGGTTTAACCTGCTCTTCCACTAATCCCAAATAACACTTGCTTTCTGCGTGGAAGGCTCTTGTCTGGCACTGGGCAGGGTCTGGAGCTGCTGTGCAGGTACAATCCCAGCTCACACAGACTCGGGACTCTCAGAGGTGACAAAAGACTAGAGCTACAAATCCTATAGCAAAACCAAAGAGGTAAAGGCCAAACGTGCCGTGGTTCCGTGCCTCGAGATGGTGCTTCAGTTCCTGTAGCTTTAGAAGTAGCCCCAGGCCTTGGGCTATAAAACTACACTTAGTTAAACTCCGTTTCTCTTCGTTTCTGTGATGTTCTCTCCAGCTCAGCTCTGCTGATCCTCGGGGGGTTCCCAGCTGCTGCAGACACTGCCCAGCTGAGAGAATTTGTCTCTTTCAGGTGGTTGCTGTCTTCTGCAAGTGGGAATGAGGATGTTGCTGGATGAAGCCCCCGGGGCAGCACCTCTTCACTAGCCCCTGGCCCTGTGCTGGGCTCAGCGGGCAGAGCAGGAGGTCACTGAACCCTCTGCAGGGCTCAAAGTGCAGCCCTGGCAGGGATGAGCTCAGTGGGTGCTGGGGAGAGCAGCTCCCTTCCCTCTGGCCACTCACAACCACCCAGCACCCACAGGAACTGGGGCTCTTGCACTGGCTTTGGGACAACTTCAGTGGGTGGGAGATTGAAATTCCCCTTTGCTGTGAGCAGAATGAGGGAATCCCCGGGATGAGCCGGACACAGTCATTCCTTAGGGATCCCACAGCAGGATTCCATGGAGATAGCAGCGTCCTCCCTGGTAGCTCCAGCTTTCTGATCCATGGGGATCTCTGTAGACATTCCTGAGAGCCTTGTCCAAAAGCTGCCCCTGCCCTTTAAAGGGGGGGGAGTGTTTCCATGCTCTGCTTTGGGCCAAACAAGCTGATTCTGCCCAGTGTGCCCAGCATGGCTGAGGTGTGGGCTGCTTAGAGGCTGCCTCGTGGAGCACTGCCCTGTTTGTGGCCCTGCTCCCTGCCCTTTGCTAACTTGATGTGGAAAACAGCACTTGGACACGCTGCGGGAGGAGGGAATGTGGGTCTGGTGAGGGGGGGGGTTGAGGAGCTGCTTCAAGAGCCACTTGCACTGATGCTTGACTCTCTTTTCCATTCGCAGAACAACTTTCTAGCCTGACTCCTAAAGACTGTCCACATCTCCTCCTTCAAGCTATATCGGGGCCACTTGCAGCTGCAACAGCTTCAACGCTCACCAACCCCATGGATGTGATCAGGGCTCGGGTGCAGGTGAGAGCTCAGCCTGTCAGTGTCTGCAGCCCCAGCAGGACAAGGCAGGGTTGGCCTCAGCTCTTTGATCTCTGTGGCTTCAGAGGAGCTGCTCTCCTTGTCTCTCTGCTTGGGGAGGCTCAGATCCCACGCTGCTTCATTAGCACTCAGCATTAATAGGGCGCAGCTCGAGTAGCAAGGCTGGATTTGCCTTCCTCGACTGCTCCACATGAGGTTCCCCAGCAGATGTGGCCTCTGACACTGAAAGTGTCAGTTTGAGTGAGACTGGAGCTGTTGTGTTGATCCAGCCCTCTCTAGATGGCAGGAAGCAGGAGACAGGTCTAAGAAGCCCACTTGCTGCCTCCTTTTTAGGGCTTCTTGCCTTTTCCCCCTCCTCCTTCGGGAGTTCTGGAGCCTAGATCAGGGCTGGTGTGTAGCCTCCAGAGCCTTCAGTCGGAGCAGAACCCAGAGCAGCCCAGGCTGAAGCTTGGCAGCTCTGTGAACGCCTGTTCTGGCTTTGCAGGTGGAAGGCAAGAGCTCCATCGTCCTCACGTTCAAACAGCTGATGGCAGAGGAGGGCCCCTGGGGCCTCACAAAGGGCCTCTCTGCCCGTATCATCTCAGCCACTCCTTCCACCATCGTCATCGTGGTGGGCTACGAAACGCTGAAGAAGCTGAGCCTCCGCCCAGAGCTCGTGGACTCAAGACACTGGTAGAGGCAAGTGGTGAAGAGAAACCTTCCTTTGCTGCCTGGGTTGGACCATCCCGCTGGAGAGCTTGAGGGGGGGAGAAGCTGCTGCCTTCTCCTTTGTCTCCAGCTGCTTTCACAGAGCAAGGCAGAACCAAGAGCAGCCGCAACTCCCCTCTTTGGAGCCGCCTGGCACCAGCGCTCTGCTGCCAACCGTCAGGATGTGACCCTTGGCAACGCGGTTTGCCCGTGATGCTTCATCCAGGAGCACATCCCGGCACCACCGTGGTTCCCGTGGTGGGGTTTGAGGTGGAAACACTTCCCTGGCTGGAGCCAAACCCCGTTGCGGTTGTTCCGAGCCCGAGGGGAGGGCTCCGCGCTGCAGCAGAGCCCTCTCGTGGGTCGGCTGCTCCCTGCACTTGTCCTGGGGGAAGCTGGAGGAACCAGCCCCGTTTCTCCAGCCACCCACATTGATTCCTAGATGTGAGTAACCTGGAACCACTTCAGCCCTACTTTGAGGCTACCTGTAACATCCCCTTTTTGTATGCTCTCAGAGAATGGTTTCCAATCTCTCATCCTTCAAACAGCAAAGCAGGAGTTGGGCTGTTTGTAACCACCCGGTGGCAGTTTGGACACTCAACCTGTGCTTTTAACCTGGTGTTATTTAATGTTTTTATCTTAGGGAAGCTGCTTCTGGTTTCGGGGGGGACTGAGTGGTTGTGCTGTGGCCTTGTTCAACGTGTCAGTAATGCATGTTCTGGGTGGCTGCTGCCACTTCCCACCTTTTCCTTAGTGGAAGCACAAACACGTATGGCTTTTGGAAGCTGTGCTGCCGGCAGGAGCGAGTTGAGCTCCAACCGGGTGCAGGGTGGGGAAGGAAGAAACCTTGGACTGGCTTTTGATCCAGTTCCAACCTGATTGGCATGTTCATATTGAATAAGAAGTGATGGGTCACTAATACGTTGTATGTTTAAATCCTGCTTCTCCTGTTTGGGAAGGGCAGGGATGACTCTTTGCACTGTTGTGCTGGATCAAACCCTTAAGCCATGCTCCTGTGGTTTTTAACTTGCAATTGAGTGATGAAGCAAGAGGCTGCTCTTTGGGGAGGAGAAGGGCTGGAGGGGTTGCTTTGGCTCTCAGTAGTTGGGGTTTGCCTCTCCCCAATGCCCTGGTGCAGATTCTGCTCTTCCAGAGTGGAACAGCAGCACCTCAGGCTTGCAGGAACATCCCAAGTGTGTGGTAGCCCCGTTCTCACACAAAGGTGGTACTAATACCAGCTTAGAGTCAAAACTGACCATCAGCCTCTGGTGGGTACCAGCAGGGTATGTCTGCGTGTGGTGGGGAAGTGGCAGCATGGATGTAGGGACTCTCCAGCTTCATGTTCCTCTCGTAACCAGCAAAGTTCTTGACAACTAATAAACTTCAGAGACCTTTGATGTGATGCCTGAGTCGAAAAGTGTGGTTGTGCTGAGGGAGCCTGATGGCTTCTGGCCTCTCGCAGCTATTCCTGCTCAGGTTCAGTGCTTTGCCTTCCAAGGGGCCTGACGAGCAGAGAGGAAGCAGTGACAGTGACTGCACACAGAGCTGAACAAGCTGGAAAAACACCAGGCTAAAGCACACGGAGCACCTGAAACTGTGGATCAGGCAAGCCCAAACCCCCTGGAGGCATCCAAGGCCAGGCTGGATGCGGGTTTGGGCAACGTGCTCTAGTTGAAGACGTCCCTGCTCATTGCAGGGGTTGGACCAGATGAGCTTTGGGGGTCCCTTCCCACCCAAACTGCTCTATGATTCTATGATCCCCGTTCCCAAATGGTTGGCTCCTACGAGCACTGTCTTGGCAAGAGAAAACTGCTTTTGCCTCTTTTCCTGTGCTCGACTTGGCTCATTCACCCCCCGTGGAATGGGTCGGGCTTGAGCGTTCTACTTCGTGATTGACGATACGGGGAGGGAGCGGACGGGGGGTGGTTTATTGTAGTCCTTGCCCTGCCTCAGGGCCCGTCTCGCCGTTAAACCCCGGGGGGCGTTGGGCGCGTTCCCGTTTTCCACCGTTTAAGCCGTTTTCCAGCGCTCCGGGGCTGAGCTGGCCCCGAGGCC